CCCTACGGTGAGTAACCAAGGCTGCATAAACAACAAGCCCACGGCGAGTCCAGAGAGAGAGAGAGAGAGAGAGAGAGGTTGTGAAGTCATCTGAGAGCTGTAGAGGGTTTATGGTCCTGCCACTTACAGTCTCTTTGACTGTACAAATACATGGGGGGAAGCCAACTTTTAAACAACAAGCAGCATTTGTGTTTGCCAGGAGCAGCCGTTCTCATGCTGACAGGATCCATGGAGCCTTGCAGGATGGTACATTTTGGGAACCAAGCAGAGGAGGAAGGATCAGGTTGTCGGATGGGAAGTGGGCCTAAGACAGGGACTTTCTCTTAGAAAGTGGAATGCAGAATGGAAATGTTGGAGAACCTCTCGTCTTGCTTCAAACCCCTCCTCTACCCCATTGGCAGGGCTGTGACCTGTAGCGCTCTGAGCTTCCACTCGTTAGTCGAAGAGTTAAACCAGGTGGAAAACAAGGAAACCATGAAAATCCCCCAAAACAGGAAGGTTATGACAATGTCTTCAGCTTGGAAACCAGCATTTTCTCCCTTTTGAATAGCATCAAATTGCTTAGCACCCTTTTCCTCCACACCCACAGCTCCTTCTAGCTCATCCACTTCCCTGTCCCTCTCACACACATGGTGGCTGTGCTCTTATTAACAGAGATGGTTGGAAATGTTCACATTTTCAATGACGTTCTTTGTGGAGGTTTGTCGGCCAGTTTATAGAGCCGTCTAAAACTGTCCACCGAAAAACATTGACAATTTTGGTGTGTTTTCCAATCAGCTCTAGTTAATGGTGACAGATTTGTAAAGTTAAATCAAGAGGAACAGGTACCTGTGGCGGGAAGGGTTATGTTTTTAATAAAATGTGAAAGCTAAATGTAGCACTGTTAGTGGTAGCCAGCCAAGTGCTACTGCAATACTGCAAACCATGGCCAGAGGTGTTTCTCTATTTCCTGCAAGTATGGTCAGATTTCTCATATCCCATCATCCTCAGGAATCATTCTGTGAATGGCAACTCTTTTCCTACACACGCATCCTCTTGATCGTAGTGCAAGATCCACGTTCAGTGGACATGACTCAAGAAATGCCCCAAACCACAGGGAAGCAACATAGATCGTTGGGGTTAGCCCACGTTTCCTCGGTTTCTTAGGTGCTCTGTAGGGCACAAGCCACCACAGCTTCAGCCAGGTGAAGGGATACTGCTCTTATCAAGTATCCCATCCCATCTCCTAGAACTGGAAGGGACCTTGACAGGTCATCGAGTCCAGCCCCCTGCCTTCACTAGCAGGACCAAGTACTGATTTTGCCCCAGATCCTCAAGTGGCCCCCTGAAGGATTGAACTCACAACCCTGGGTTTAGCAGGCCAATGCTCATACCACTGAGCTAAGTAGTTTGTGTTGTGTTTTTGTCCCAGCTTTCTAAGACCTCTCAATCTGGGTGGATTTAATAGATCCCCTCTATGGTCAGAGCCTTTATCTGCCAGGGCAGATTTCTCTTTTTATGATGCCCCGTGCTACTACTTGAAATAGAACCTGTGATTTAAAGAACCCATTAGCTCCTGCCCACACAGCAGCCCTAAGCAAAATTTAGCTGTACAAATCTGACCTTGTGAATCTGGGGCTAGCAGGAAGTCTGGCAAAGGTGTGCTGGTGCTGAACACTGTCTGGCTACTTCCAGCTCCATCTGGGCTTGACATGAAGAGTTTGATTTGCCTTCTGCTCCGCTGGGCTGGAAAGCTTTTTTGGTTTCACATCCTGCCGTGAGTGTGCAGAGACTCGCTGCCTTGTGTCAGAGTGAGACGCCCCCTCGGATAAGGGCAGACAGTGCTGACCAGGTGAGCCTCCCCCAAGGTAAGAGTCCAGCTGGGTAGCCTCAGGAACACCAAGAAGGGAAAACCCTTTTCAAAGAAAGGAGTCTGCTTTTTTTTAATTCCCAACCAGCCAATGGGTACAATGGTGGCAGTTCCATGGGCAAAGTACACCTATCCCTTACAGTTTCCAGAAGAAATTCCGTGGCCAACATCTGCCAGGCATTAAGGTTCACACCCTCTCTCTCTCTCTCTCTCTGCTTCTGAAATTCCCACCTGGATCCGTCAGACTTCTGGGAACGACAAATGTTTTAACCCATCTGTTGCCATCAATTTTGTAGCCATAATTTGTCCTGAAGGGAACCAATTCCTCTAGGGTTTTTATTTTATATTGTTACTATTTTTGTTTGTTTTTAATGTTGGGGGATGGGTCCAAACTGAACCCCTTTTCCAAGGACCCCAAATGATGGAGTCTCCAGAACCCCCAAAGGGAACCCAGTGCTGCAGTTTGGGCCCATCGCCGGTATATTTTTTTAACTCCTATTTTAATCTGCAATCATTACAAAGTTATCCGCTCCAATATATGCACTTTCCTCCTGCCAGTCACGATTTCTGTGCATCCAGGAGTCTATTGCTACACTACAGTGTCTCTCTCCATATTTAAGATGCTGCTCAGACTGACATGTTTGACTTTTTAATGTTTGTCATTTTCAGTTGGGTGGGTTTTATGTAAGGAGAGTCGTGTTTAGTGTTTTGCATCACATAAAGTCTAGAGCACAGTGGACTTTACTTGGAACTGAGTTGTCTCTATTCACCTCTGCGGGGACCAGCAGGTCCTTGGTGGAGTCGGAGCAGTGAGATGGGAGCTAGACTTGCAGTGGCAAGGAGCAATCGGTAGAAAGTTGGCCAAAACTGGTGTTAAAGACCCACCTAATTTAGGATCACCAACTCTCTGGGAGGTACAGCACCAACGGGCAGGAAGTATCTTGATAAGTGTTGGATGGAGATCCTGGGGAACGCCATGTTATGTCAGTCCACAATACTGGACTAAGCAGGGGAGGGATATCTCATAGCTGTATCCTTTTGGGAGAGATTTGCCACAGCCCAAGCACCGGGGAGGGAGGGGATCCCTTCCTTGTTCCACTGCACAGAGGTTAGAGAAAGAACTAGACTAGCATGTCATTAGTCCATCGCCTCCTCCCAGCCATGCAGGGTTGTTCCCTACAGGATTCCTGCTCCAGCTGAGTTTTAACTGAGTTTGACCCTAGCCCTTGCCTCATAGCAAGACAGGTGGCAGTCCCAGAACAGGTGGGGAGCGAAGAGTGACTGGCCACCTGCTCCCGCTCTTCCCCCATAAAGGGAGGGGGAATTTAAAGAGACAGAGCCTTCATTTTCACCCTTCCATCTTCCCCCACATCAATTGATGCCAATCCCAGCTTTGCCGGTTTTTGCAAAGGGGTTAAAATATTGGCACAGGCTCACACAACCGCCACACACACACGCAGGGTACCAGGGAAATGCTCTCCTTTCCCCACTTTAGGTTTAAGATAATGCTAGGAGTGTGGCTGGCTCCTGACCCTGCCCTACAGCGCTGGCGACCCTAAATACGACCCAGTGGTTTATCTGCAGTGTTTCTCTTCAGACAGCAGAAGGGCAACTGATCTTCAGCTTCCACATCACATTGCTGCAGGTGGCAACTCTGCTCCATGGCCCATGAGACCAAGCTGCTGCAGCCCCTGGATTTCCAGGCCTGTACGGACACTTAGGTCAAGCCTATCAGAAACCTGAGCTGCATCAGACAGGTGACTGACACAAGCTACACAGCATGTCCCACTGACGGCAGCAGCTGGAAATGTAACAGATTGGGAGGGGGGAGAACCATTAATGAAATTCTGCCCAGTGAGATCAAACTGCAGTGGAATGAGCCACCCATCTCCGTGGCATGTCTCCTGGGCTGCTCCTCCCCTCACTTTCAAGCCTCGTTATATGCTCAGCCGCTTCCTTCCTGCTTGCAGTGATTTCAGACGTAGCGCATCTCTAGTTCCTCTAATCTTGTTTCAACCTTCTGCGTTTCTGAAGGTATTCAATGGGTAGGAGCCAAAGTGCAAAGCGCCAGGGCAGAACCGGCACGGGACATCTGACCGGCTGTCTCTTCGGTCATGCCCTGGGCTTCATGTGGCAGTGCCGGAATGGAGGGGAACACCCTGCAGGGAAGGGACAGTGGATTAGGAAGCAGGTTATCTTGAGCCGTGATGGCCTGATGCAGAGTTAAATGAAAGAGAATCACATCTTTTGCTTGGAGCCACTCAGCAATGCCATTTTTAAAGATGAAGTTACATTGATGCTGGTACTCTGTGCTCATGCAATCTTGCAGTCATGGTCACCTCCACGCCTTATAGACGGGGAACGTTGGGGAGGGGCCTGCCCGCCAAGCAGACTATCAGCCTCAATCCATTTGTTTCGATCTGTGGTACTTACCTGGTCCCCATTATGGGGGTATCTCTGCACCTCACAGTCTTCAGTGTGTTTGTCCTCACAGTACCCCTGTGGGCCAGGGCAGTGCTCGTATAGCCACTGTACAGAAGGGAACTGATGCCCAGAGAGGCTAAGTGACTTGTCTAAGGTCACACAAGGAGTCTGTGATAGAGCAGGGAAATGCACCCAAGACTCCCAAGTCAGCACCCTCCCCACTGGCCCAGTTCAATGGAATTCCCCGTTTCCCTTGGAGGAGCAAACCCTGCACTCAGACACGCCAGTATAAATCTGGAGTGCCCGAGCATAGGCATGGAGTTGTTCTAGGTTTGCTCCTGGGTTACTGTGAGAAGAGCTTGGCCAGACGTGTGATTCGTTCCCTCTAGGCTTGGGGGATGAATGAAACTGAGGAGCCAAGCAGTGGAAGGGCCCATGACACAGGGGACTGGTCTGTCTCACTCCCCTGCCCCTGTTTGCTGTTTCCCCCTTTACAGACTGCACTACCAATTCCAACGCATTAGTGAGTTTGCCCATTGATTTCTCTCTCTCTCAGCCCCTCCCTCGCCCCCGCACGGTACAATATGGATAATCTGTTGGGATTGCACCTTTTTATAGCACGTTATTAGGCCTGTGTGGAATCTCTGAACAGAAACAGCGCCTGTATTTGCATTTTTCCTATTAACCTCTCCTAAGCCATCATGGGGGCAAGACACGGAACTGCGTTCAAACTAAGGTACCAAAGTGTTAACGTTATCCTAGGTTTACAAATGTATTTGTAGAGCTCTTATTAAGCCACATTTATACCGGTGAGATATTATTTTTTATGCTGTAAACTTTATATACATGTTTTTAAGGAAAGATTTTAAAATTAAAGGTGTTTCTTCTTTTTCAACCGGTTTCTTGCTGGTTCCTGATTCGTTTGCCTTTTGGGGAGGTTTTGGCTGTTTTTCTTTCCATAATCTCCTGTCTGGTTGCGTTTGTGTTTTGGTGGGAATGAAGATTAACTGAGGGGAGGCTAAGGGAGAGGAATGTTAATATGCTCTGTAGCGCTACCCAGGCTTAGGCAAAGCTAAACCACGGTAGCGGGGCGAGATGGCCTATATAGCCAGCTATTGTGGAGGTGGATCGCCCTGCTCAAGCCCTTCGATGATTGAGCACACGGGGGTCAGTGCCCTGAGTGGAGGCAGGTGAGTGGATGGACGCCATTCGGTAGCGTTTCGGGGAGAGGTGCAAATAGCTGGGCTCTAACAATTCCCAGGGAGGGCCCATGATCCCCTCTTGCAGACTCCACCCCCTCCTCCCCTCCTGCAAAAGGCCTGTATCACAGATTGCTTCCCACTGGTGGAGGCAGCCCGGATGCCACTTCCCCAGCACAGTACAGCGATGCCGGAGAGGTGGCGTGGGCCTCTCTCCCCACCCCATCCACGGCTGGGCACGTTGTCTCTACAGCACGCCCAATCCTGGTCGGCCTGTGAGCAAGGCACCCAGCACGGGGCTAGGGATGAGCCAACAGCTGGTGTATGAATGCACCCAAACCTGCTGTGTCGCTGGCTGCGGAGCCAAACCCAAACTCTGGGCGTTCGGGCCCAGCCATCATCAAACTGGGCCTGGAGCCGTGCTGGTCTCTCAGGTCCTGTAGGACAGTCACAGCTTATCTCTCCGAGTCACAATAGGAACACAGGAATTGGCAAGGTCCATCTAGGCCAGGTGCTTCGCGGGTAAGAACCCAACAGTAGCCGATGTGGGGTAACCTGTCCTTGCCCTTAATGGCTCATCCTAATCCCAAGCACCTGGAGCTTGGTTTAAACCCTGACGCATGAGGGGTAAAGCTGAGAGCGGCCAGGCACAGCGCACGCTCCGGGAGTGCAGGATTGAGAGTGGGGAGGGCGATAGCTGGGGCAGAGTGCCTAGCCTGGGTGCCTGAGTGAGAAGTCACACATGGTTTGGTTGGGTAGATATCTCTCCCACCCCCTGGTTCTCCTCCCACCGGGGTTCACCCACACTCCTCTCCTTCCCCACCGTAATGTGCAGAAATTAGGTAGTGTCCCTTTAAGTAGTTTGGGAGCCCTCCAGAAGAAGCAGGGTGGAGAAGGTCTCCCAAACTATTTAAAGGGACATTACTCATTTCCTATATACTAAACCCCCTTACCCCAGGCTCCCTGCCTCCTTCCTTCCTACCCCGGCTTTCCCTCTCTGCCTCTGGAGGGCTTCTACGGTCCCCTAGAACCACAGAGAACAGTAGAACCCAGGCAGGCTACTTCCCAGGATAATGAACCTTGCTTGTTTAGCCTGGGCCTCAGGCATAGACTACAGCAGAAGACAATGAAGTCGCCTGCCCTTGGCTGCTGGGATGGCCAATCCTGTGCTCCTGTCTCTGACGGGCAGTGTCAGTGCAGTGTTGGTTGCAGAACATGAAGCTGATGGGTTTCTGAGAAGCTCGGGATGGTTCTCCCAAGGAAAAGACAGACGGGTTTGTTCTGATTCATGTGGCAAGGCTGAGCTGTCACAGACAGGCTGGCACCTTTTGTCCCTAAATTGAGTCAGCAGGAGTTGACTCAGCAAGGGGGGAAAAAAATCCCCTTCTCAATGAAGACTGCAGCAAGGTCCTGAATGCCCTGGGGAGAGGACAGCTGGAAAATAGGGTGGGGGAATGTAGCTAGCTGTTACTGTGGGAGCCAGTTCCCATTCCCCTCCCGTTCCATTCACTCCCTGCCCCCTCTTTGGATTTCAGACCTTTCGCATGAACACAAGCACTAAAGAGAAGCTGCTCGTGTTATAGAGAACACCCTAATGCCCAGGGAAGACGCGCCAGTCATCAGGGGAGCCAGGTTAGGTGCTTGTTAGCATAATGCTTCACCTGACCATGAAGTGAAAAGGAATTCCCTTCTTCTGTTTCCCCCTCCATGCTGTGGCAGCAGCAATGAAGCATGGTGGGGTAGTACTGGAATTTGGCTCATGCCCCAGTCCAAATGTGAACCATGGAGTGTTGTCTTCCTTAGTCTGCAGAGGAACTGAAATAATCACTCTAATGGGCTGTTGGCTCTGAAGCCTAATGATATGATTCTCAGTATTGTTCATTACTCATTTCTGATTATTTTAGCAGAAGCTTATTCTGGTACCATGGGCATAGTAAGGAACTCCTTCCCTCCCCCCGGCCCCTTCTCCCATCATTCCCTGTCTACATTCTGTGCAAAATGCCTGTGGATAAGGCAGATGCAAACTGTTTGCAAGTTCCTACGGATTATTTGGTCATTAATTAGACACCTGAGGTTACTAGTTTGCAAATTAATTGTCCCGCAGACCAGCAGTTTTTAATAGGTCTGCACTGTAAGCGTGAGACTTCTTGTCAGTGATATAAAAATGGTGCTAATGTAGTCCAGCTGTGTGATAACACTGTCATGCTCTTCACCTAGGATGTGCTTGGGCCTGGTGCCATCCCATCAGCCAGCAGATCGAGGGACGTGATCATTCCTCTCTATTCGGCATTGGTGAGGCCTCATCTGGAGTGTTGTGGAAGCAGAGAAAGAACTGTCATGCATTGCAATCCCCTTCCTGTCAGTTCTTTCTCTGCTTCCACAGTACTGTGTCCAGTTTTGGGCCCCACACTAAATGAAGGATGTGGAAAAATTGGAAAGAGTCCAGCGGAGGGCAACAAAAATGATTAGGGGGCTGTAGCACATGATTTATGAGGAGAGGCTGAGGGAACTGGGATTATTTAGTCTGCAGAAGAGAAGAATGAGGGGGGATTTGATAGCTGCTTTCAACTACCTGAAAGGGAGTTCCAAAGAGGATGGATCTAGACTGTTCTCAGTGGTACCAGATGACAGAACAAGGAGTAATGGTCTCAAGTTGCAGTGCGGGAGGTTTAGGTTGGATATTAGGAAAAACTTTTTCACTAGGAGAGTGCTGAAGCACTGGAATGTAAAAAGAACAGGAGTACTTGTGGCACCTTAGAGACTAACAAATTTGTTACCTAGGGAGGTGGTGGAATCTCCTTCCTTAGAGGTTTTTAAGGTCAGGCTTGACAAAGCCCTGGCTGGGATGATTTAGTTGGGGATTTGTCCTGCTTTGAGCAGGGGGTTGGACTCGATGACCTCCTGAGGTCCCTTCCAACCCTGATAGTCTATGATTCATGGCCATAGCCAAAGCAGAAAGGGAAACAGTGACCCACTGACAGAAGGATTGCCCATGGGCTAGCAGAGGCATTGTGGGAGTGTTATTGTAATTATCTAGAGATACCTTCTGCAGTGGTACCAGAGGACTCTGAAGGAAGCTTCCTGTACAGCCCACCCTGTGCTGGAAGAAAGGACTCCATCAGGTGGCTTCTTTGTGAGAGAGACAGTGCTTAATTTGTGCCAAGGCTGAGCCCCAGCACCTCTAGGCCTGGCGGTTCAGAGCCCCGGCGCCTCCGGGCCTGGCGGTTCAGAGCCCCGGCACCTCCAGGCCTGGCGGTTCAGAGCCCCGGCACCTCCGGGCCTGGCGGTTCAGAGCCCCGGCACCTCCGGGCCTGGCGGTTCAGAGCCCCGGCACCTCCGGGCCTGGCGGTTCAGAGCCCCGGCACCTCTAGGCCTGGCGGTTCATAGCCCTGGCACCTCTAGGCTTGCCATGTCAATTATGAATGTAAAAAATTTGCTTGAGCTGTGGCACCTGGTTCATTACAAATTAGGCACTGCAGAGGGAGGAGACAATAGAAGTAGAGGCCAGTGTAAAATCCGAGATGTTTTCTAGTTCTCTCAATGGCCTGGCTGCGAGAAAGCCTCATCTGTAATGTCTCTGCCTTAACTATCACATTTACAAGGAAGGGCAAGTAGCAGTAACAGAGGTAACAGGCCCAGACTGATTCGCCTCTTAATCTGAGCATGAATCGGACAGAGATGGGACAACAGGAACAGCTGAACGTCGTTCACGCACAGACGGTGAAAGGATCTGACTTGGCTGTGTGTCTTCTTGGATGCAAACCGTAAAACCCCTAAATGCAAAGATATCGTTTGAGCCGCTAAACTCCCATCGGCTACTGACACGCATGACCCCTGCATGATTCCAGACCCGGGGGTCCATCCTCATGGAGACATCAACACTGAATGCTTCTCACTTGGTAGAAGACCCTCCTTGATGTCCTCTTAGAGACTTGTCCTGTCACCTCCAACGAGGAAGGGTCACAGGCTTTGAGAGTTTGCTGGATGTGTGTCTAAGTGCAGCTCACCCAGTCAGCACAGTTACAAAACTTTCCTTGGAATGAGGTCACATTTACTTATCAGGCTGAGGATTAACATGAATTCTGCTACCCCTATGAATTAAGTTGTGGCTCGTTAGTCCTAGTTACTCATTTCTTAAGTAGATTTAGTAATGTTAGCCCAGGTCTGCTGGGTAATACAGTGCATCTAGTGTACACGGTGCAAATCCTCTTTCACTGCTCATCTCTGCTTCATCTCCTCCGAAGTGCCCGGAATGCCAGCTTTTCAAAGAACGGCATTGACACTGTTGCAGCAAAGAGTTTATCCTAAGTCTCGTGTGAGGGACCTGACTTGATCTCCCTGCTCTCTCCATTGTAAAACTATGTAGCAAGATTTCATGATTTCTTCTGACTCCAGTAATTTAGCCTTAAAGTTAGCAGGCATGCAGTTTCCTCGGTCGCAGTGCCACTAGCAACACTGCACATACTTGTCCTCCTTTGGGAGTACACTGAACGAGGAGCATCCGTCATAGAGGACAGCCTTTCTTTCTTTCTTAAACCTGTAGCCAACTTCTCAGTGGAGAGCAGTTCTCCCAGCCACATGTCAGCTCTTGCGCATGTGGTTTCTAGTGAGAGAAAGCATATGTTCTCCACACACTGATGCTCTAAAGTGGTGCAGCTACACCAGTGCCATCTGCATTTCCTGGAGCGTGGCCTAC